CCCCAAAACCCCAAAACCCCAAAACCCCAAAACCCCTGTCAAGAGAATTATTATTGAATTTGTCACTATTTTTGGAATACTTATGGCCTTTGGTTTACTTGTCCATATCTTCCATGTACTTCTTTCTAACATCTTTAAGCTTCTGGATTCTATCAGCAATTCTTGAGTGGATGTTATCTAAATTCTCCCTTATTTGGCTCTCTGTCTGGTACTCCTTGATGAACCTTTTGATACGAGAATGAAGAAAGTTCTCTAGTTTACTCTTACCAAGAATTTTCGCATGGAAGAGAAGATTGGCAAGGATGTGGTTGAATAGAGCATCAGAGAATAAAGCCTCTATTATTGCACTCTTGTCAATACCTGCTCCGTTCAAGGTCTCATGAATTTCATTACTGGTTTTAATAATTTCCTCACATTTCTCTCTGTTTGACTGGATTAGCATCTCTTCAACGTTTTTAGTAAGCACAGGTTTAGGAGGAGCATCATTTTTCTTTTTACCTTGAATCTTTCCCTTGGGGTTCTTAGATTGATTATAAAGCCTCACTCCTGGAGGAAGTCTCTTTCCAGCTCCAGATTTCTCTCTATTAGCTGTTTGCTTACTTTCTCCTCTCGAACCATTACTAGTGCCTATTTTGCTATATCCTACATTTGTATTTTCAGTGATGTAGGTATTGTTCAGATTATTCTTATTGTTCAAAGTAGCAGAGATCAAAGTACTAACAGGCTCTGCATTTGTGCTATCCAATGGAACTGGCTTAGAGTCACCTCTTGAGTTATCTCTGAAATGACCTGTATTGGTCTTGATCACTGTGTGCTTTTTGTTTGGGATCCTCTTCCCTGCATTCTGCACATGAGATGCAGATTTCTTTTCATGCTTAATAGCAGCCTTGCTCAATACAGGGACAGCAGTATTCTTCATCCCTGACGTGTTTAGAGCTTCACTAGTTGAGTCCTATTTTAAAAATTTAATTTCTGTTTAAAGCCCTCAGCTTCAGGATAAATAGATAAAAAGGAAAAGAATGAGAGATAACTGTAAATTAGCCTGAAATCAATATGCTTACCATCATCCGTGAATTATTTGCCTGCTTCTTTTTAGTAATTTTAAAATCTTTCCTGCTATCTTTCTGACTAGCATTAGACTCTCTGATACTTTTTGAACTCTGGGTACCTTTCTTGGCTGAGCTCTTTCTTAAGGACCTTATAGTCTTAACGTTTCTGCCATCTACATAGTTTTCCTTGCTCTCATCAGTTTGATTATTGCTTCTACTATTCATTTTTAACGATTTAAATTATTCCAATTTATTTTATAGCTTTCGGGGTTTTGGGGTTTTGGGGTTTTGGGGTTTTGGGGTTTTGGGGTTTTGGGGTTTTGGGGTTTTGGGG